CTCCGTTTTGTTGCGGAGTATAAGTACTAGATGATTGATGAATGATGCCTTTAGCATGAAAATAAGTCTCAAAAGGGTCTGAGAAATATTCTTTGGCATTGTCAGAACGTAAAACTTTAATGGAACACCCAAATTGAGTTTTGATTTCTTTGCGAAATATTTGGAAAATAGAGAACAACTTAGAACGATTTTTCATAAAAAACAACCAAGTCATCCCAGAATGATCATCCACAAAAGTCACAAAATAATGAAATCCATTAATAGAAATATGTTTTATTAGTCCCCATACATCTGAATGAACTAACTGAAATGGACTAGCAACATGATTATTAGCTCTCGGTTTGAAAGATACACGACAATGCTTACTAAGCTGACATGTTTCACAAGACATGGACTCAATACGACTAAGACCAGGGACTTGACGTTGCAAAACTGATAATGATGGGTGGCCGAGATGACAATGCCACTGGAAAGAAGACAAAGATGATTGAAGACAAAGATGATTGAAGAGCCGTAGGAGATGGTGTAAGATCGAAGTAATACAAGCCACCTACTTCATGTCCCGTACCAATCCTCTTCCTCGTCTTGAGGTCCTGAAAAAGACAACATGTGGGATAAAAATGTAACGGAACAGTTAAGAGATTTAGTAATTTTACTAATGGACAACAAATTAAAAGGGAATTGAGGAAACGTATAACACAGAGGAAAGGGACATAGAAGAGGTAAGATGAATAGTATCCAAACCCAAAACTTTAGTTGATGATCCATTAGCAAGAGTAACACTTTGAGAGGAAGGAACAGACTGAAAATCAGATAAGAGATGAGAACTACGAGTCATGTGATCGGATGTGCTAGAGTCAAGAATCCAGGGACTCTGACTAGAGGACAAAAGACATGCAGGGGCACTACTTGATTGGGCAAAGGACCCCATGAAGATGAGGTGGAAGGCCGTTGTTGAGATAGAGACTGAGCATACTCATTGCGAGGAATTGTGACGATAGCAGTCTCAATAACCACATGTGGAGCAGTGAGTGTGGCAGAGAAAGAAGAATCCCCGTCATTAGAAGTCACTTGATGTGCATAAGAAGAAGGTGGCGGTTTCCTATGAAGATCCCAACAGTAATTGACAGTGTGATTAGTAAGACCGCAGTGAGTGCAAAGTTTTGAGTCTCTGCCTCTGCCACGACCACGAGTAAAACGACCACCACCGCCACGAGAAGACTGAAAGCCACCCTGGTTCACAACTAAGGCAGAACGTTCACTGCTAGGAGGAGCAGTGACACCACTTGAAGCACCCCTTGAAGCGCCACTAGATAAAGTAGCACGCTGGAGCCTGGATAACATATCAGGAAGAGAAGGAAGTGCAGGGTTACCCAAAATCTGTGCTCGAACAGGTTCATATTCTTGTGACAATCCTGTGAGAACCCCGAACAACATTAAAATCCTCACGTTGTTGTTGCATGGCTTTCACATCAGAGGTGATGGGTTGATACAAGTTTATTTCTTCACAAAGTCCCATTGCTCGTGAGAGGTATTCTTCTAAATTGTGAGTCCTTTGCTGGAGGTCAAAAAATTGTCTACACACCTCATAAATTCGAGTTATATTACCAGTACCTGAATATAACTGTTGGAGTCGGGTCCATATCTCCTTGGCAGTGTCTAGATATAACAAGTTGGAGCTAATATGAGGTTCAATACAATTCAGCATTAAGTAGATGATCTGAACATCCCTTTATTCCCATGAACTGAAATCAGCATCACTGTCTTTGGGTTTATCCTTAACCAAATGAGTGCCAAAGCCTTTGGCTTTCAGGAAAATGGCTACCGACTTGGCCCATAAAATGTAATTTTTTCCATTAAGCTTGACTGAAGTTATTGGTGGATTGAAGGAGGTAGAAGATAACAAGTTTGGACTGGTAGCCATGGAAAAGATAACAAAAAAACAAACCTGGGGAAAAAATTGCAGAATTTGTATTCGGTCGGATCTGGGCAGTCGGGCCGGATCTGGGCAACCGGGTTGGAACTGGGCTGGATCAAAACCAGGTCTCTGCTATCCCAGTTTTAGTAAACCAAGGTTGGAATAGCATCACGCGTAGCCAAACACGGTTGTTCTTCTTCACAACCCATTGACAGACGCTGGCAAGCATGCAGCGGCGACGGCAACCCAAGCACATGCAGCGGCCGTCTCAATAATCAGCGACACCACATCGAATCAGAACCTCTGCAACTTCCGACCAAGAGAAAAGACGAATCGATGAAGCCTCACCTCTGCAAATGACGATGGTGGATGCCGGCGAGCTTGCTGACAACCAAAGCGGCAACAACACGAGTAGCCAAAGGGGCTTCAGATCTGACGACGACGAATGAGGCTTCAGATCTGAAGACGACGACGACGACGAATGAGGCTCTCAACCTGCCGGCGACCAAAACTTCCGGCAAAGACACCAACAACACTCTCGCGATTCCGATCGCGATTCCAATCTCATACAGGAACAACACAATTGTCATTTCCCACACCCGTGAATTCATATAGCTCTGATACCATGTTCAAATTCATGAGAGAGAGAGAGAGAGAATTCTGTATCTCTATATATTGTGTATAACCCTTAAGCCAAAATGAGGCTTATATAAAGGAAAAGACTTATAACCTAATTACACAATGTTACTTAATTACACAATAATCCTAACTACTATGGGTAATTACATAATGACCCAACATAAATATATATATACATAAACATTCTAACACATTCCAATTCCAGCAGTTCCGCCAAGACGCAGCCCACTTTTAAGGGCAAATCAGCCACTACAGCAGTGCAAAATGTGGAACAGCAGCTGCCATTTGTTGGTTAGAGAGCATGCTGCCACTGTTTGGAAACCACCAAAATTATTGGAGGACAACAGGTCAAAATCGATGTTGAGACCTTGGGATGAGGTGTTACAAGTGTGCAGAGCCTATGCATAGATTGGTGGCGTGCAGAAAACTTTTTAATGGAGGAAAACAACTTTTGATTGAGGAAGATGATGCAACCTCGGAGGTTGAACCAAAATATGATGATTTTCCGGAAGAAAAGGATAATGATATGTTAATGCCGGATGTAGGCAGATCCTTGGTTATGCGAAATTCACTTTTGCTTCTGACACGAGAATGATGAATTCAAGGAATTCAACATGGAAAAAGAAGGGGATGATGTACCCCAAAGGTTGGCCTTGCTGGAAAAGACATGGGCCTTGGTGCCTCATGAAGCATTAGGTCTCAGGATCGATTCTTGCTAGGTGCAAACAATTCCTTGGAGGGGGGTGTGTGAGTGCCAACTAGGAAAAAATAAAAGAAAATAAAGAAGAGGATGTTGACAAGAAATTTGCTAATGAAAGTGAGCAATATGGATTAGTTGTTGATCAAGTCAATGAAATTTCCAAATTACATGTCCAAGACAGTGTGGAAGAATTCGGGCATCAAATTGATGAAGGATCATCATGTGAGCGGATTGGCAATGAACAATATGCTTCTGTGGCATGCTAAACTTGTCCAAGACGGTATGGAAGAATTTGGGCATCAAATTGATGAAGGATCATCATGTGAGCAGATTGTGATTGAGAGTGAAGAAGTTTTTATTTCGAAAAGTTCCAGTCAAGATATTTTAGTGTGTCGTGTCTTGGAGATTCTCATGGCAATGAACAGTATGCTTCTGTGGCATGCTAAACTTGTTTGGTTGGGATTGACTTTGGTGCAATGTTTGATGGCTATTTTAATATGCATGTTCACCGTGAAGTACTCTTTATACCTAGTACTTCACGTGACTTCTTTCTAACCTGCGGGGACTACATTAATGTAGTGACTATCAACTTTGTGATTTTCGGAAACTTTCCATTTTCTGATTTTTGGAAACCTCCTGACTTTGTGTAATTTTCTAATTTTTAGTAACTTTTCTTTATTGTTATAAAGCCAATTATTGTACGATTGTTGGGAGACTATATAAAGGGTGGTTGTGGTATTGGAGAGGGGGTGATCAATATTTTTGTGCTCTTATTTTGTGATCTTATTTTCTCCTTGTTCTAGCATTCTTTTCCTTCTTTGTTTATCTGTCTCTCTCTTGCTTTAGACGACAATTGTTTGTCCTCTCTTGGTAAGGCAGCATCATGTTCTAAAATAAAATGCCCTCTTTTGGCTCCCTTCACCCTGTCAAATTATCAAATGAAGGACTGACTGCGCCTGTAGGAGATCAATATAGGATTTACTTTAGTCTATCCTACAGGTGACTGTTAAGGGGGATCAAGTAATAATCATTTAGAAAGATATTAGATATAAGGCAGGGCATACTTTTTTTTTTTTGGGTGTAAATAAGGCAGGGCATACTTAAGAAAATCATAAAATGAAATTTGAACAATCATCATGATAAACGTGATTTTGATAGTTCTTTGGATTCAAGTATCCCTATATAAATCAGGGAAATTGTGAATGGGTTTAGTTTGGTGACTTGGATGAAATGACCTTAATTGGTTTTTCCCCCATAATTACTTGTGATTTTGTAGGTTTGTAGGGGTTTAGGAGAAAGGACTATCATATTTGTATCTTTCAGTTATATATATATTGAAACTTATGATGATTAAAAGGTCCCACCTTGTGATATCTTAATCTAGCACTTCCCTCAGGGTTGCATCAACATCACTTACACCTGATATGCAGAGTACATTATGTGGAAAACCCTTGGTGGACACGTATGCAAGATAGTCCTTGTCATGTTTTTTCTTTAATAGATTGACAACCAGCTTCCAGATATTTGACCTACCAAGGTTTTCGGGTAATTGTTTATGAGCCTTAATTGTAACTTAAGAGATGAGAAAGGTGGCCGAATGTAGTGTTATAAATTTTTTCAAAATCTTTTATTTATTATAAATTTTTTCTGTTTGTATCATAATATGCTGCTTTTGTATTATTTCATTACCTGGTTTCTTTGTTATCAGATTTTTATGATTTTTGCTTGTGTTCTTGCTCCCAGGACTTCAATATGAGTGTCTTAGCAGCGTATATACGTCCGAACTCAAACTCAGAGATTGTCAAGGTTCATTTTGTGCCTTAGCTTTTTTTTTTTTTTTCCCCCTGTTGAATGTTCTCTGATACATATGAAATAATTGAGGTTCAATTTGCAGGTGAATTTGCTAGCATCCAATGACTATGCTAAAGATATCTATGACGACGACGACCAATCTCGCCCATCCTATAGTATGGGAGGTTAATGCAGCCACCATTTGTACATGGAGTTTAAACCTGTATTGTTCCCTTTTCTTTCTATTAATATAGTGGAAAGGATGGTTTGGCTTGGTGAGTTCTAGTTTAGAAATATAAAAAGTACTCTGTATACATAGTACTTAAATATTTTTAAATATAATTATATGCTTACTGTATTTTCAATGGAGAAGTGACTTATAGGAAAATACCATCCAGTTATGACTATGGAAAATGAATTTTGGTTTTTTCCAAAATTGTTTTTATTAGGAAATTGAATATTGTAATGATTGGCATTGATGAGCATCAAGGGTTCCATCCTGTACTGATTTTATCTGAATCCGTTACACCACGACCGGTATTGTGAATCAAATCCATTATAAAATGGGGAGTTCGAGATCTTAAAAGCGCTCAAACTATTTAGCCCTATCTGTCATTACTCCTGCAGGCCCAAAGAATCTTGCTAGTCGCAGTTTTACTGATGAGAAGGAAGTTTGGAAATTAACTTGGAAAAAAAAAAGTTTGAAATTAATTCGGCAAGGAAATTCAATTATTCCAAAGTCTGTATGAAATGCTTCCAGTTTAGTTTAATTTAAGAGCTAAAAGAGCGTGGAGGTTTGAGTCATCCTCAAGGCATAATATTGAGAATCTTCATTGCATGAGCAATTCAGTAAGAGAGCTCCGATCGAATCGGTATTGATAGCATATTTCTCATCAGGTTATGTGCAAGGTGTTTTTAAACCGTGGATTATATACCATGTGATGAAAGATATAATTATTAAAATTCTATTCACAAGCGTACCATTAATTTATATATACTTTTTAAAATTTAATTTTCTATATCAAGTGCAACGCGATAAGAAATTTATTGTGAAAAAAACAAAAAAATCATATATGCTTTTTAATTGAATTTTTTAACACGATATTGATTTCATGTTGTTTCTGCTTCTACATAATGCGTAGAAGTCGGCCCATATGTTGTGTACTAGGTGTTTTGAGTGGAAGTAATTGTTGATTTATTAGTTTGTAAAGAATGAAGAATCTGTTTAGTTAATTTTTTATATATATAATTTTATTAGCAAGCAAAATAGTGCATCAGTTTTTTTGAGTTATGCCGGCAGAAGTTTTTAGGAGATAATGGTTGAAGACTTCTGTGAAAAATTAAGTCAATTAAATTGAACAACTCTACGTAGTATGAATGGTTTACAATATGATTTTGTTATTGATATTTAGGAAAAAAAAAAAAAAAAAAAAAAAAAAAGATATTTCATAATTTGAAGGGTTGTTTTTCTCTTATATTAGTAATCATGGCTCTAAATATTGATTTGAATTTAGCCCATGAGGAATGTGACAACGAGAATGTTTCATGTGGAAGTGAAAATATGATTGATGGTGAAAGACATGAGGGGAGAGGAAAAGAATTGGAACCTTGCAATGGTATGAAATTTGATTCACGTCAAGAAGCATTTTCATTTTACCTAGAGTATGCAAAGTCTGTTGGGTTTGGTGCCTCAATAAAAGCTAGTCCACGGTCAAAGGCAAAAAGAAGTTATGAAAAAAATGTGCAATGGTTAATAATTCTCTTAAGGGCTTTGAAGATCCTTATAATTGTCGTGATTTTAATAAAGAGGCCGTTAATAATAATGTGATATTTGACAACTCAGTATTCAACCCACAAGTGTCAACTACAAAAGGAGCTTCTAAAAGAATTAAAAATGGGAACGAAAATATTAGTAAAAAAAGATGCAAAAACATACCAAAACATGTTAGAGTTTTAGTTATCTTGCATATGTATTTCATTTAATGATATATTTCTTAGTTACTAATTATTAATACTAGTATTATATTAGGCTCAAAAGCATATGGAAGTGCCCAATGGTAAGAGGAGAGAGCCTTTGAAAATTCAGGTTTGTCATGTCGTAAATGTTATAATTTCCTTTTGAAATACACAAGATGTATCTTAAACTTATATTTATATTTGATATGTGTAATAGGAAGAAAATCATCCTCGTGTGTTTGTTTCCAACGAACGAGCACCACCTCCTGCACAAGATTTTTGAGGTCTAATATTAATTTATTAATTGTACTTTTCTTCTTACTTGCATAGAATAAAAATAGTGTCTTATGTTAATAAGAGGGATGAAAAATGGAATTTGATTTTTTATAATTTGAAAATATTCAGATTTGACGATGTTTTACCTTTGATTTGATTATATGTATTAGTTTCGCAAGTTCAGTTGTGTTGTAATCTTTTGACCATGGATGTAGACGAACTTGATGTGAGTTGATGTCAAGGAATTATGGCAAGGCCATTTAAATTTTAATTTATTTACTGTCAACATGTTTCAATAGTATAAATCTGTTGAAACTTGGACGTATTTTTTTTTCATGTGGAACTTGGATGTTAGTATAGAAGAAAAAAAAAGAATAAAGAAATACGTCCCGGAAAGGTCATCTAAAAGTGGGTTTCTCAAGATAAGTCAAAAAAAAAAAAAAAAAAACAGAGGAAGATTAGTAAAAAAAAAAAAAAAAACCAATAATTTTAAGGAGGAAAGAGAAATGCAATCGGTAGAAGAAGTTAACTTGAAGTTGACAATCGAAAAGAAAAGTTAACTCAAAGTGGATTCGTTAAAATAATAAAATTAAAAGTAAAACAAAGCAGTTTTGTCATTCCCCAAAGTGAGTCTCTAAAACTAAGAAAATGAAGGAGTAAAATAATTGGCATGCAATCGTTGTTCAAACTGACCAATTAAATCACAGGACTAATAGCAAGAGGCGACTGTTGCTAGCAAACCGATAACACCCTTCTAAGTTGCAACTTGCCCCCTTCCCGATAGTCGGTCCAATTTTGGCTATGAAATTGATCCTGTGATTTGCTACATATACAACTGAAATGTTAAATGTCTCTCTCTCTGCACGCATACATATATACACACGTTTGACAAACCTTGGATTGGACAAATAATAGAGAAAACAAATACAACCAGTGGATTGAAAGACCTAGAGTCTCGATCCGACTCACAAACTACACAAAGTCACCTAGGGCCTCGATTAAGCCAATAGTCAGTCGATCAAAAGACCTAGAACCACAATCCTACTTGCACAATTTGGACATCGAGCAGCCTACAGCCTTAGATGAGACCTAGAGCCTCGATGTAACTCACAGCCTAGACATTGACCTAGAGCCTCAGATGAGCCACAGCCATAAACCAGACTGTCGAAGGACCCAGAGCCTCGATCGTTCCAAGACCAGAACCAGTTGATCGAAGGACCTAGATCCTCGATCTGACTTACCCAACCTAGATATCGAGCAACACAGCCTCGAGACGACCCATTGAAGCTAGCATCGATTCAACTCCGCCATGAGTTAGACATCGACAGGATTAAGAGTAATGGTAGGACTCTTCGAGGTTAATTGGGATGCTTAAAGGATCTTGGATTGGATGATGGAAGATCAGTTTAAGTCCAATAAAGATGGACCAACTTAGGGAAGAGTGAAAGAAAATCCAAAGCAAAGCAGAGACCCATACAATCACCATTAATACTCAACCACCACCTTCTGATAAGCTAAACCTTATTTAATGAGGGTCACACCTGCATATGGCGATCTTGACAAAGAAGTATGCAAACCTGACATCATAACTCTGAAAAGGTTAAGGATAAGTCATCATAACCTATGAATAGGTATGGGCCTTAATCCAACCCCCCTTTTAAACTAGTGGGTAATAACGTCAATACTGAAGGCTATAAAAAGAGGGTGGAGGGAAACTTTGAAGGAAACATATCAGAAGTTATCAACTTCATAAATTGGTCTCTTTTCTAGGTTAGTATGATTTTTCCCTACCCTCACTCAACTTCTCTAAGAGCATCCCCAACGCCAAGAGTTGTTTTCATTCTACACTTTAACTAAAATGTAGAGCCATGACATCAATTGTGCTGACGTGGCTCTACACTTCTTTTGGAGACTAGAAGTTCTTATTGTGCACTCATTTTTTCATTCTACACTTTATTATATTAATATTTAAAAAAATAAAATAATTTTTTTTAATTGTTTATTTATTTTTTTCCCAACTGTTTTATTCTCAACAACTATAATGCTAACAGCTATAGTTGTTTGCTCCGATTATATGTTTAGATAAAAGATTTTAAAATATATATATATATATATATATATATATATATATATATATATATATTAAAAGACAATAATATTACATATATTAAAGAAAAAGTGCATTATATAGCTTCCTACAAATAAAATAAAATAATACAACTCAAGAAAAATAATAATAATAATAATAATAATAATAATACATTAATACTTCCGAACATGTAAAAAAAATAGTAAACATTACAATTAATTGCCCCTTTTTGTATAACGCGCTATAATTTCATTTTGTTGATTCTTGATCCATGCTTTCATCGCTAGTTTTGTAGCATCATTTGGATTTTTTTTCCATCATTTGTCTTTCCCAAATAACTTGTTACTGCTCAATCTCAATCTCCTTTAATTTCTTTTTGTGCCTCAACTCCTTTAATTTTATTTCTTTTTGCACCTCAAGCTCCAATTGCCGTGTCCGTTCTTGCTCCATGCCCAAATCAAATTTCAATTTCATTTTTAAAGTACAAGATTCGAGTGCTAAGTCATCCATCAACGTCATTTTGCTCGGCAAATCCTTGAAACGATGTAAGAAATAAGTCATTCTGTACCATATCTTTACTTCTACGACCCTTCTTGACAGTTTTTCGCCCAATGGGTCATGAAGTGTCTGGTCGTTTGTGGTTATCGTCGTCCTACCACAAGCTTGAGAGTGTGCATTAAGGGGAGGGCTAAGAGTTTTACATTTATAGAAGCCACTACTACCTTTCACTATAAATATAGCTAAGGCGAGTAGGGATCATCCTAAGGGACTGTGGGGATCGAGCAATGTCGGAGTTGATTGTGGAATCACAATTAGGGCTAGTAGGTCGAGTGATCAAACAATTAGTTGGTTGGTTGATTAAAGAGCAACTAAATTAAGCTAAGTAATAGCAAAAGAGTGCAATTAAGAGTAAGTAAAAGAGAGAGAGATATCTTGGGGTTTAGAGATCACCACCAATCAATGCATTTCTATATTATTGACAAGTGATTAATGAGGGCAATTAGGGTGTTGCAATATTGGTGTGTGTGTATTTGGTTGATTCAACAAGCAATGATGACTAGTTAAGCATGTATTGTCTAAACATCATGTGAAAGGCACAATATATCTAAGTAATGAAGTATATATTGTCTAAACAACATGTGAAAGGCACAATAAATTAAAACAAGTCATTAATCCTTTCATTAGGCTCACAATCCAA